TCGGCGCTGGTGTAGTAAGGCACCAGGGCGTCGTTGAGTCATCTGGCTCTCCGTGCGGTACTGGGTGACGTTCAGCGCGTCGATGGCGCCAGACACCACGCTGTTGACTTCGGCCTGAGTATAGGTTTCGGCCTTTTCGTAGCTATCGCAGTCGATCTCCAGCGTGTCGGCGTTGTTCTGCAGGCTGACGCTCAAGGGCCCGGCGAAGCGCCAGGTTCCGCAGCACGTTGCCCCAACAGCTCCCAGGTGGGCGGGCTGGCGCCCCAAGCAGGCGCGTTCGACAAGGTCACGGGCACCAAAGCAGCCGTAATGGCAGCGTCTGTCTGCGCCGATGTGTAGTAGGGCGACAGGTCTATGCCTGCTACGGCAGTGGCGATTTGGTTATCCACCTGCGTTGCGGTGTAGTATTGCAACAAGGCCGCGGTGATCGCGGCGTTCATCTCTGTTGTGGTGCTGTAGGCCGCCAACGCCGCCGCGATGGCCGCGTCTCGCTGTGCTGCTGTTTCGTAAGGCGCCAAGGCGGCGGCAATCGCCGCGTCTGCTTGCGCGACGCTGTAAGAGTCACACGCAAGGCTCAAGGTGAAGTTGTCATTCTGCAGGCTCACGCTGAGCGGTGCGTTGAAGTGCAAATTGCGCAGGGTGTTTGTGCCCAGCAGCAAGTCCCAGGTGATTTCGCCGGACCAGGCCTGCGCGTTGATCAAGTTGCTGCCGCCGCCGGTTGTCAAGGCAGCCAGTTGCGCGAGGATGGCGTCTATGGCGCTCTGCAGGCTGGTTTCGGTGGTGGTCAGGTCTGATGATGTCGCAAAGGGGCCTGCAGTCTGCAAGGCGAGGATATCTGCGTCGTGACCATCTAGCCTGGCGTCCCTGAGCGCTAGCGCGGCGTCGAGTCCCGTCTGTTGGACGTAAGGCAGAAGTGCTGAGGCAATGGCGCTTGCCACTTGGGCAGAGCTTTGGAAGCCTGCTGCTTGCAAGGTCGATATAGATGCTTCAGCGCCGTCAAGCCTACCATCGCGCACCGCCAGCAGCGAGTTCAGCCCCGTGGCGTCAGTGTAAGGTAGCAACGCCGTGGTGATGGCGCTAGCGACTTGCGCCGCCGTTTGGAAGCCCGCCGCTTGCAAGGTTGCTATGGACGCCTCGGCCGCGTCGAGCCTGCCGTCTCGCAAGGCCAGGGCCGCGTCCAAAGCGACTTGGCTCACATATGTTAGCAGGGCCGTGGTCACCCTTTGATCGACGTCTGCAGGCGCGGTCTTCAAGTTGACCGCCGCCGTCAGGTCAGTGGTGCTGGGTCGGTCCAGCAGCGCATTGGCGATCTTGGTGTCAACATCCAGGCCAGACTGCTTGGCGGCGAGACCCAAAGCCAGCTGGTCGGTTACCGTTCGAAGGGCGTAGTTTGATGCCACGCTGGCCAAGGTTGCGTTGTTGGCGCTGGTGATGGCCGAATTCATGGCCGCCGTTGTGGAGTAGCTCGCCAGCTTGGCGTCGACGCTTGCTGGGGTGGATTTACCGTCCACCTCCAGCTGCAGGGTGTCCAAGGCTGATTGGTTGGCTTTGCTGGCCAGCCTTGTGGTGAGGCTCGTGTTGAAAGCCGTAATGCTGCTGGAGTTGGCAGCTATCAGACCTTCCGCCGCGGCCAAGTCGGAGGCCAAGGCATAAGGCGCTAGGTCTGGGGCCGCGGGCAGGTTGTCGACCTGCGTTTGCAACGCGGCAATTGCAGTCGCGTTGTTTGCACCCCAGTTGCGTTGGACGAAATGGAGGCTGTGTTGCTGGCCGTGTCCGTGAGCGGCGTGTAGGCCGCCAAAACCGTTGCCAGCTGACCCGCCGTGATCCCACTGATCTCTGCGGCGCTGCCATCGTTAAGAATGTTCCCCGCGCTGGAACTTTCGAATAAGGACATGTTTTTCCTATCTGTGAGCTGCGCTAGTCAAGGACCGACACGCCCGAACCGCTGAGCGTGACCACCTGATACGACACCAGACGCACGAAAGCTTGCTGCACCTTGTCAGCCTGGAGGCCCTTGAAGCTGAAGCGCGCCAGGTCGCCGGAGCGCGTCGAGATGCCGCTCAATGGCATGCCGGGCACACGCTGCACCGGATAGGCCGCAATGAAGGAGCTGCCCTCGTACATGTTCTTAGTCAGACGCATGTTGCGGATCGAGGAATCGTAGGTGTTCGCCAGGATAGACAAGAAACGCAGATGCTCAGCAAAGTCCTTTTGAGGGTAGTGGGGCACCTGCATGGGGCCCAGCGCCATCTGCGACTCCAGGAAGGAGGTG